AAAAATTATTAGGCAAATCCAGAATTGAATTTTTTCACTATTAGTTTTTCTATATACCAGCTTTTTCAAATAGCAAACACAATAACTAAAGGGATAAGATAAAGATTTTAGTGCAGAATAACACTTTTGGTATTGAAATAGAACCTTTTATAAATATCTGTACATCAGATCAAAAAGAGGGACAACGGAGGAGGAAAGAGTGAAATAGGGATTTGGTTCCAAACTACTACAGAGGTCTCCTCTACGCCTCTTCTACATAACATAGAAAAGTGTGGTTCTGTAGTCCTCAAAGATAGCTGGGAACAATGCAACAGATAACAGTCAGGTTCAACAAGTTTTGCACTTGTTGAATGCATATAACAAAACACTAGTAACTGTATATTTAACAGAGGTAAAGGAACCAATAAGAAAAGTTCATTGTTATGGTTACCTATTTAAATATTATACTTTAATCACCTAGTAACACATAAACCTGATCGATAACATAATGCAGAAATAATGTACCTGACATATCTTCAGCAATAAACTTGTATAAAGCAAAAATGGATTATATAAGACAGACATGCAGAACTAAAGGAGTCCTAAGCATGTGACCACAGGAAGACCAAATGGGTGGCTTGGGTCACCTTTCAGCTTGGTTTTAGGATAGTGCACTGACAGCTCTTTTCCGGACCAGGAAGCACACTGCCACCTGGATACAAGTTTAGAAATATAGATAAATTTTACAAGACTGCAGCTCTTTGTACGTGTTGTACCCTGCACATAATCTTTTTGGCTTGCCTGCTGTCCTGATTCCCAATCATCAGCTGAAATTGGTCCTGCGGGCTCTGTTTTAATCTAATCTTTACTACTGGATGCAAGCTCTTTATAATTTGATGTCAACATACGAAGCTACAAGACATAATTTACTCTGTTCCGTGAGACGTCTCAATACCTATAAAAACACATTTCCCTATTAAGAGGAAAAGTGACTGAAGAGAAATTAAATGCTGGGGAAAAAAAGAAAGTTTTTTTTTTTTTTCTTCAGCCATTCCAAAATTAGGTTGCTGAGCCTCTTAGATCAGCTAGCTGCACAGCTTTGTACAACTGTTATTGTATCTGCACTATAATGAGATATTACCACTGGTCAGAGGATTAAATTAACAAGAAGCATTGTGATGACAATACATTTTAATGAACTCAAGTACCAGCTGCTAAAGGACTGTGATAGGAGAGAATGATATAAGCAACCCTGCAGGCCTTTTATGTGTACATTCTTTGTACCAGTACATATACATATTTTGTTCTAGAAAGCCCCAATATATTACTGGCACTGCAGCACTTCAGAATGTCACTGCTGGGATCCGGGCGTTTTTTCTTAGTTACAAAGCTTTTAAAAGAAATACGTTTAAAAAAAAAAAGAAGAAGATCACAAAGTTTCACTCCATGTCCTTTACACAAAAAGGTATTCCACCACTAAAGCGCCCCCTGACAATTGCAGACACCCTCCCAGCTAAACTGTTAAAATAATGCCTTAGTACTGAACCTACCCAACATCATTTAACACTAGATCCTTAACCAGTGCCTAAGCATGTAACCCATAACTTGACCCAACACTTAAACTAAAAGGAGCATTTAACTCATCAAACATGCAACTCCCTCAAAACCTAACACGAACCCTAACAAATTGTAATCCCATTCAAAACTTTTTTTTCATTTTGGATAAAGTTGAGAAGGGTTAGGACTTCTGTTGGTCTGCTGTCTGTAGCTTTCTGTACTTTTTTCCACAGAGAGACCACAGGAATAGAGAATTCCCCAAAAATGACCTCTACTCCAGTTCTGCTGTCAAGTGTAAATTTCTGCATTCTTTCTCACGGTCCATGTTTGCAATGTATGTGTTTGCATTGATGAGTTGCATCATGCCACGTTAAACAGCCTATTAAAAATTAATAAACTCAAACGCACCTCAATAAACAAAAAACCTTGATCACGTTGCATATTCATTTTATTTTTTTACAGTGTAAGCCACAGGATGTTGTGCATTATGCACTACATTACACCAACCCTTTCAGCACCCTACTTACCATTTCCTGCATCCTGTGACGTAAACTACTGTTCCATCAGTACAGGGCTCACCTTTGTACCCACAAAGTGGGGCTTAAAGCTCAAATACAAAATATGTAAAATGTGGGAACTTTCATAGGGTCTTCGCCTTTTCAAAATGTCAGCTGGAGCCCACAATTGTGACCATTCCAGTGGCATTTAACACAAACCTTTCCTTGGGGGTTGTCACTGCCAATGTTGACCTAAAGATGCTAGTTGCTGATTTCATGATTACAGATATGAAAAGTATGCAAGTAAATCTTGAGATTTCTCATCTACCTCAAGCTCGCCATTAAATCAGACTGTACCACCTCTGTACAATCAATTTTATAAAAACTTTTCTAAAACTATGTAATATGAGTGCCCATCTACTCTATACAATCAATCCGTATACAAATCAGGTGGGCCCTCATGTTAAATAGTTGTTTGTAGATCTAAATGAGATTGTACAATATATTTTTAACACGTATGGTGAACATTAGGAAGAGTAATTTCTTTCCTCAGTGTTGGTCTGCATGGTCTTCAGAAAGTCTATAACCCATTAAAGCTACTGGTATCAAAATCAATTCATCTTATCAGCTTGTGATTTGTATCACAGGGAAACTTAAGTACAAAAGAAGGATATTTCATAATTGTAACTTTCACTTAGAGATTTATTTGGACTGTTGTGTACATGTAGTGATAAGCTGAATTAGCTCTGGAAATGACCAAACAGGGAATATTTATAAAGCAGTGCATGTGACATTCACCAGACATTTTGTGCCAGTGAATCTTCTAGGTGCACGTTTTGGAAATTACAGTTACAATTAACACACCTGTAGTGAATGTTTGAGGAATGTCATATTTACTGCTTCATAAATATGCCACCTAGTCTAATTTTTTTTCTTATGTACAGCTTGGACCCAAGAAAATCAATGCAGCAATCACAAAATTACATGAGAAATATAACGAGAAAGGGATTCTTCACAACAAAAGTAGTTGTCAGGCGGCATTATGCAACCAGTTCAAGAGGCACCTTTGTTGTGGTGCCCCATGATTTTATAGTGCAGATAGGATGAAACACTTTGTCTTAGTTGTGTGAAGGAAATAATTGCTAGCAGAGATGTGTTTCAATGCCCATTTCCTCCTCATGCCCCAAGCACTATCCCTCAGGATATGAGATTTTTTTTTCCTGTTACAGGCTATGCAGCTATATAAGACATAAAACTCATCCGTACACATGGACATATTGTAGAACACTGCAACTCCAAATAAATACATGCACAACTTTGCAATTATGCCTGCTCACGTGTCCCATCGCCTATAATCATACAGTGAATGCTTCCATGTCATAACTAAACTGTACTGAATTGCGATTTTCACATACCTGTATCTTGCAAAAGGGATTTGCATTTAAACTTTTATTTACCTTGCATAATCTACAAATGGGCCACAAAAGGCTCAAGGGGCAAACTGGCACACATCTAGCTGGCACTGATAGCATACACATGAACAATAAAGATGTCAACCTACATTCAAATACAAATATATGGCTAAAATAGCAGCACATAAAATACATCTTAGAATGTATTATAATGAACACATTAGAAGTTCACTCCACAAGCCATAACATTTTGTATGCTGTACTGCAATTTTATCCTACAGTATAGCACACTCGAGATACAACATCTACATGATGGGTTTTGTTCCATATTTGATCTTATATATTGCTGCAGATAAAAATGCCATTTCCTACAACATAATTATGTTTATATTGATACAGAACAGAGCTCATCATTCCAAATGAACAGAGGGTGCACATTTTAACCCAGGCAGCTATTTTTTCCAGGACAATGTATTTCCAAGTAGGGAGTTTTTGTCTGAGAGCCATGGAGAGCTGGTTCCTGTAATGTAACATGACAGTCAGATACCTGTGAATATCTTGGCTTCCATTCCATTTAGAGTTGGAAAGTAAGCTTGCTTTTGTTCTCCATCATGTCTCATTGTAACAGAACTTATGCCCGTCTAGTCAGCAAAATTAATAAAAAGGCCTAACAAAGGAACTGTAAATATTTAAAATAAACGTGCCTACATGGGATAATTATCTTTAAAGAAAGGTTGTTCAAGATGTCTAAGACCTAACTGTACAGTATTTAGTGCAGCCTTTCTCAACCAGGGTGACATGGCACCCTGGGGTTCCTCAAAATTTTTTACATAGCGCCATGCCTCTGATGTGAAGAGCAGCTCTTAGTGTGAGAAAAGGTGGCTCCTGATGTGAAGAGGGGTTCCTGATGTAATGGATGACACTGATGAGAAAGGGGGACTCTGACGTGAAAGGGACTCCTAATATCCCCACATTATGTTTGTCTGTTATTACATGGGGTGCCCCCTTAAAATGCATGCCAGACCCCTATCTCAGATGAGGGTCTGGTATGGATTTTGAAGGGACCACACATTGTTTCTTTTCATGTTGTTATGTTTCTTTTTTTTACATTTTAGACTGTGATGTTATTATTGTATTAAAATATAATTATTATTTTTTATTTGGTGTTGGTTTTTGGAGGAGATACCATTATGATACACCGAAATGCCTACCAATCCACCTGTTCAGCTGGCACTATAATGTTGTATCTGAGCATTTTGCAAAAAGAATCATGTTCCCCATTTTACACTGCACATTTAGTATATTTATTTAGATATGTTTTAGCGTGTAAAGGGTTACCAGGGTGAAACTTGAATGTGACTTACACAAAAGGCTTTAGCAATGATTTCAAGAAGATAACCTAGCAATTCATAAACAACCATTGTGCTGCATTAGGCCTACATTGGTTAGCTCTAAGTTATGTAAGTGCCAAGAACACAAACCTTACTGTTTTGAATAAGCACAATAAAAAAATAATTAATGTTGGAGGTACATTGAATTTGGGTATGTTTCTTACCCTCTCAGAAGTTTGAAGAGCATACATCCTAGAGAAAACCAGTCTGCACTGCTGTCGTACGCTGTGCCCTTCTGCAGCACTTCAGGAGCCATGTACCCGTGGGTTCCTCTGAAATATTAGGAAGATAAAAACACATCTTGACACGTTCTTTATTGAAATATCTGCATTATCTAAGCAATGAACGGAAATGAATGTACATTAGATTATTCGTTAAGCAATAGGATATAACCTCATAGACATAAAGCTGGAAGGAAACAAGGTACATAAGGTATGTTTGTATGGTACTATGACAGCACTGGGAAGCTGGGTTGTGGGGAAGAAGGCCAACAAACTCTACTGTTCCTAAATATTCATGGAAGTAAATCAGGCTTTAAAGCTATAATGAGTTTGCTGCACAACCTCTACCTCAATGTATTCTCTTTTATGACTGCATCATTTTTAATGTTATTTTGGGAGATACGGTCATACAGCATGTGTACCTGGCTTCTAGATCTTGGTTCACTCTTCAACTTCCATGTGAACTTTTCTCCAGCAGGGTACAGATAGTACAAACACATGTTTTAAATTAGAATAGGGAAGCGCGGGAAAAAAATAACAAAAAAGTTGCAGGTTCCAGTCTTTCACCAGAGGCCAGTTATTTCCCCCTAGAAAGGATGACGCTAGTCACAGCTTGCACATCCAAGAAACTTCTGCCTGTCCTGTGACAATTATGTGTCAATGCAGCCAGAAGGTATAGTTTAAAAATGGAAGCCGATACAAATCAAACATTTGCATAGCAGTAGCAGCACTGTTTAGTCTGCTTAAGCTGGGTATACACTGGTAAATATTTGAATGAACTTTCATTAGAAAAATCTTATCAGAATATTTGATAATGCCATCAGAGACTTGTAAATTTTTGTTCCAAATTTTGTTTGATTTTAACATTTGATTTTGGAAATTAATGGATTTTCTCGAATAAAAATCACATTCACTGTTAGAATGTCATTGGTTTGAGGAAAAAAAAAAATCCATCCTGCTCCTTCGATTTTTTTTTTTGTCACTACAATCAAAATTGATTGACTCCATTAACTATCTAACAATCAAAAGAATGTTCTGAAAACAACCTTTTTAAAACTAACTTCTACTGGTGTATGACCAGCTTTAGACTACACATTTTCTGGAAATAAGGGATGTAACTGACTCAGCTGATAAAGTAGATTATGAAGGCACTACTATTGTATACGTGCATGCTTGGGAAATGGAAAGGTTCACTACAACAAAAAATTCACAGTCTGCCATGATTTTCTAAAACTGATAAATAATAATGTTCTCCTCTATGCTGCCATGGCAATAGTACCATTCCCCCTGTTCAAATGACCACTGTAATACTCACAGGCCTGCTCTCATTTAAAAACAAACAAACATGCTAGTGTAGAGTTGCACAATTTTTCCTAAGTGATCTAATAAGCAAAAAGTCCTTCATAGATGCACTGTGCATCTGCTGCTTAGCACTGGTGTGGAAGTTCTCCACAGGTTGTGAACTATGGAGCTGCGCTTAACTCTCACAATGAAGACCACTAAAAGAATACTGGAAGCTGTCATCATGAACAGTACAGTGCCATTGTTAAAGCACTGGATTTATACACCATGGATTTTCCAGACAGCTGACTGTGCCGTTTTAACCTTTTTTTGTGTCCAGATTATTGCTAATGAACCTCATGTTTTGTGCCAACGGTTCTAGATCTTTTAAAGTCAGTGGGAGTATTCCTTAAAGCTAGCAGCAGTAGAAAAGCACAGATCCAATTCTTCAGCATGTTTACACTGGGGCAATGAATCACAATGACTCATAATTATTAGTACTATTTAAAGGTAGCAGATATTGTTTTACTGCTTCATAGGAATACGATTTCTTTGCCGTTTTTTTATTCCTCACAGTAATTAGGGAGTAATTCCACAGCATATCTCATATTTGCTGAGAACAATTACCTGCCTCGAATACTGGCTGAACCCGGCTTTGCAATTTTCTATTCAATTGCAGAGCTAAATCTACATGTTAGAATTAAGCTTGTATTTAATCTGAAAAAGAAGAACTCATGGCTATAAACCTACTGAAAATATATAAATTCTGTTTAGTGCAACACGGATATCAATTTAACACCAATAAACTAACGGACCAGATCTAAGTTTGCCGTTTGCTCCCCCTCTTTAGTGTATTTTTAATGCTCCCTATTCAGCAGCAAGTGTGCTAAATGAGTGCTAAACCAGACTATTTCGCTCAGACATGCTTAACACTCATTCCCTCACTAAGGGCCCATTCACACCATAGTGTTGCATTAAAGTTACACTAAACTCAGGAGTTTAATCCTGAATTGTAGTCCATCACGGGAGCAAGCTTGGAGCTGTGAATACTCTACAACACACACTGTTCCATGGGGAAGAAAAGTAGCCACCCTCCAGAAGGAAGGACAGTGTCAGCACCAATTCAGAGATGATTTGAGGATCTACAGCTGAGTGATACACAAATAAGATACATTTTTGTTAATAGTTAGGGTACTTGAATGCATTTTTAAGATTTAACGCCTGAGTTTAGTGCTACTTTAATCACACCCCAGCGCACCTCCGGACTGCCTTATTGCAGCAAGGTACAGCAATACTATGCATTGTGTTGCTGTAAAATAAAGTAGTGCGTGGGATTAACTCGGCACTATGGTGTAAAAGGGGCCCTGACAGCCCTGGATATTGATCCTACCACATGGGTATGGGTATGGGAAATGGGAGCAAGTCAAATGCTCCTATATACACACAAAAGTACCAAGGCTTTATTTCACTTCAAGCAGTTAAACAGAAGTGGATGGGTAAAGGAAAGGAGAGTATATGCTGCTCCTTAACAGACATACTTAACATACTTAACAAAAGTCCTATTATACCTACCTGACAGAGAGAAACACAGATTTTTTTTACATTAAGTTTGCTCCAAATGGATCTGTTACATAGGAGCTGCCACTGATGGCCAGTTCTTGAAGTTTCACACTCCTGAACGGTCATCCTTATCTTACCTTCAATGACCCAGTACATGTCATAGTGTCCTGACACATGATAAGCACATGGTTTTCCAGGCCACAGAACTACTAATCAGTGAAGGCATTATCAATGGCAGCTCCCAGATTTCTATATTGACAGGTTTCTTTAAAAGGGAAAATTCCCCCAAAACTTACATCACAATTTTGTTTGGGGGCAGATATTGTCAGTCAGTATTGTGACCTTTCGCAGTAACCCACTCAATGTATTTTTCTAATGTATGCTCAGTAACGGTATCATTGCCTTTGGTATAGAGATGATGAACTGATCCTTATTGGTTAGTGGCACACATTTTCGAGCATGGTTGAAATTCGATGGAACAAGGACCACAGTGTTTAAAGCTGATCTCCAGGCAGATACAAAAAACACCAATTGTTGTTATGCATTCATTAAGAAACCAAATCACTAAATGTATTTAAAATGCACTTAATAGAAGTACCTGACTCTACCTTGATATCTAACTTTTGTAATATCCCATACATCAGAACCGAGACTGGCAGAATAAAGGTCAGTGCTAAGCCAATCAGTCTCAGCTGCATAAATATATTTTTGCAAAAACATACTGACTAAACAAATGTTCAAGCTATACTGCTAGGCTGCAGTAGAGAAAAAAGGAGTTCACCAACTTGTCTGTGCTGTCTGGCAGGGGTGTGTGTATATCTAGCAATTAGCCTGGAGTTTAGTTTCCATCTTTTTATCAGCATATCAGAGTAGAATTTTTGAACGCTACACTACATTTGCAGTTGTCACACAACAACCAACCTAACACAGAGAGGGTTTCCTGATCTTAGGATATAAGGTGTTGTAGGATCTATAACCATGTATAGTAAAAATGTAATACGTGACAAAGGATTGCCAGAGCACTATGGGTTATATAAATAGACAGAATAGCAGTAAGTGCCAATCTTAAGAATTACTTGTGTATACAACCTTGGATGGAGTTGTACATAAAGAGATGAGTCACTTTTTTGACACATCCACATTGTGTATAAATTTCAGCTTCCGCTACTGTGCTCGGTAAATGGCAGGCATTTTAAAGGAGCAAGGGAGGGGAAAACATATCAAAACTAGCTTAAGGCTCCCCTGGCTGAATAGAGGACTGCAATATGTAATATTTACCTGATGGAAAAAAAAAGAAAACATATTTAAAGAAATTATGTTTTTAGTTATAAGTCTAAGTCTACTGGCTGAGACTGAAAATGCTGAAGTAAACTCATTACAGCCGTGAAGTCATGTGTAGTGATAAGCTAATCAATTTGCAAATGGGTTGATTCTCCAGAACATACACTATATTACCAAAAGTATTGGGACACCCCACCAAATCATTGGATTCAGGTGTTCCATGAAATTCCTTGCTACTAAATATTCCATGGTCAACTGTTAGTGGTATAACAAGTGGAAGCAACTGGGAACAATAGCAACTCAGCCACAAAGTGGTTGGCCACGTAAAATTACAGAGTGGGGTCAGCGCATGCTGAAGTGCACAGTGCGCAGAAGTCGCCAACTGTCTGCAGACCTCCAAACTTTGCGTGGCCTTCAGATTGGCACAAACAGTGCGTAGAGAGCTTCATGGAATAGGTTTGCATGGCTGAGCAGCTGCATCCAAGCCTTACGTCACCAAGTGCAATGCAAAGCGTCAGATGCAGTGGTGTACAGAACGCCACCACTAGACTCTAGAGAAGTGGAGACGTGTACTCTGGAGTGATGATTTACGCTTCTCTGTCTGGTAATCCAATGGACGTGCCTGGGTTTGGTGGTTGCCAGGATAATGGTACTTGCCTGACTGTATTGTGCCAAGTGTAAAGTTTTGTGGAGGAGGGATTATGGTGTGGGGTTGTTTTTCAGGGGTTTGGCTTGGCCCGTTAGTTCCCGTGAATGGAACTCTTAAGGCATTAGCATACCAAGTCATTTTGGACAATTTCATGCTCCCAACTTTGTGGGAACAGTTTGGGGATGGTTCCTTCCTGTTCCAACATGACTGCACACCAGTGCACAAAGCAAGGTCCATAAAGACATGGATGAGCAAGTTTGCAGTGGAGGAATTTGACTGACCTCAACCAATAGAACACCTTTGGGATGAATTAGAGCGGAGACTGTGAGCCTGGCCTTCTCATCCAACATCAGTACCTGACCTCACAAATGCACTTTCTGGAAGAATGGTTAAACATTCCCATAGAAACACTCCTAAACCTTGTGGACAGTCTTCCCAGAAGAGTTGAAGATGTTATAGCGGCAAAGGGGGTGCCAACTCAGTATTGAACCCTACGGACTAAGACTGGGATGTCATTAAAGTTCATGTGCGTGTAAAGGCAGGCGTCCCAATACTTTTGGTAATGTAGTGTATATATGTAGATTTCTGCAATCTCCAATTACAATTTATAAATCATGGTGGCTTGGTTTGCTGAATTGTATACTTCTGGACAGGTCAGACAGAGCTGCATGCAAACATTTACACAACTCAAAAAATTGGAGAATCAGAGGTTATTTGAACTACAGAATGCGGATATCTGGCATGTCATTACCCAGAGTTGTATGTAGTACAAAAGGTGGATTGCAGAAGAGGAGCCACTCTAAGGAAAATTTACAATCAGAGCCGTAAAATACTTACACGCTAGCATGCGGTTTCTTCTTCGAAAAGTCACACGCAAGACCTAAGTCTGATATCCTCACATGCCCGTGTTCATCTAATAGAATATTTGCTGGCTGTAAAAAGGAGAGGAAAATTGTCATAATTCAGCATAGTTATATGCTTCTGGCAATGACCAGTAAATCTTTGTGAACTTAGCTAAACATAAAGAGACTTCTCCTGTCTGTCCATGAAAACTCACAGATCATAGCTTAGTTCTAGCACAGTTGTACAATGCCTCTTAGATTATCATCCTAGGACTGGGCTAATATTTAATTTTTTAGCATTAAACACTTTTTTTATAATAAGGCAGACATAAAAATGTAAAATAGCAGCTTGTACAAGTCCCTCACATTATAAAGTAGAGACACACATTGTTATTTGTTGCCTATGTATTTGTATTAGGCACATGATGCAACATATATAAACAGTAAAGCTTAATTATACTCAGTAGCTTTGTTTTATTTCAGGAAATGTCCTAGCATTGCTTCTGCTTAGAACAGGTAAAGTGCCCTCCTCAACCTAGACTTGAAACTTTTCGCCAAGATTATAGCCAATAGACTGCTTCCTTACATCCCTGACCTCGTGCACTTGGATCAGGTGGGTTTTGTTCCGGGACGGGAGCCGAGGGACAACACTACTAGGGTGATCAATGCAATCCACCATGCCCGCTCCACCCTGTCACCTCTCATGCTGTTATCCACGGACGCAGAGAAGGCGTTTGACAGGGTGGAGTGGCACTTTATCCAGGCGACCCTGCGCCACATAGGTTTGGGGCCCGGCATGTTGAAATGGATTTCTGCACTATACTCATCCCCATCGGCTGCTGTCCGTGTGAACGAGTCCCGCTCGGATATCTTCTCCATCTCCAACGGGACGAGGCAGGGATGCCCTCTCTCCCCGCTCATTTTTATACTTACCCTGGAACCATTCCTTTGCCGGATACGTTCCCTACCTTCCTTCCACGGCCTATTGAAAAACTCTGGTGAGCATAAGGTCGCGGCCTTCGCCGACGACCTGATCTTCTTTGTTTCGGAACCGCGTACATCCCTCCCTGCCCTCCTACGTGAACTTGAGTCTTACTCCTCCCTTTCCAATTTCAAAATCAATTTTTCCAAGTCGGCGGCTCTCAATATCTCCCTCCCATGGGCGGAGTTGGAGTACTTACAGTCCTCTCTCCCCTTTGCCTGGTCGACCGACGCCCTGAAATACCTGTGCACCTACATGGCTGCGGACTGCGCCATTGCCCCATTACTCCAGAAGACCAAGCAGGACCTTCTATCCTGGCACTCCCTATCGCTGTCTTGGTTTGGCCGATGCAATGCCATCAAGATGACGATCCTTCCGAGGATACTATACCTGTTCCAGGCCCTCCCCATCCGTATCCCCCCGTTGTTCTTCCGTCGCTTGCGCCAAATGTTTACTGCCTTTTTGTGGTCCCACGCCCCAGCGAGAATTCGATTTGACACCGTTACTCTTCCCAAAAACAAAGGGGGCATAGGCCTTCCAGACATGGCCAAATACAATAAAGCGGCCGCACTCGCTCGGGTCTTGGATTGGTGTTGTCACCGGCGGACCAAGCAATGGGTTAATATGGAAGGAGAGGATGCCAACTATGCCCTGGAGGGATTGCCATGGCTTTCCTCACCTTTGACCTCTGCTACACGTCTTCACCCCACTATTGCCCACACGTTGACGCAGGTTAGGTCGCTTTTTCGCTCCTCCGATCTCTCCCCCTTTCCGTCGCCCATGACCCCGGTACTTGGGGACCCTGACTTTCCTCCTGGGGTAGACGAGCCCCGATTTTGTCACCTCCGGGATGCCAATAAGTTCCGGGTCTGCGATATGCGCTCCTCCGACGGATGGCTCTCCGCCAGCGAAATCGGTCGCCTACTGGACCCCCCGTTGGAATCCTGGGGAACCCTTCATCCCCCCCCCCTCTATCCTGCTATTTGCCCTGCCTTGATGTCTGTCTGCCCCTTCTCCCCCTTTATCTAGTTGTCACGCCTGTACCATCTACTCTAATGTTCCGATCAAACCATGATTGCCTTACTCTTTCAGCTGATTTTTATAACTTATCTTGGATGCTGCAAGAGTAGCACAAAGTGCTTATCTCTGTGAATTGTTGGACGAACATACAAGTATAAAATGCTTATACATCGTGAAATATGCCCGATAGGGTTGTTGTTGCTTGCCGATGATTGCCCTCTCATAAGGGGCACACCACCAATGTTATATTGCTTGTATTCCGAATGCTTTATTTCTATATGTGATTACCGTGTATTGTGTTTTCTCTCAATAAAGCTGACTTTTGAATAAAAAAAAAAAAGAACAGGTAAAGTGGTAAGATACTCAGAGTAGTCACACTGTACACTACTTGGGGACCGTCAAGGAGGTTGTCTACAAGCCCCTGCATTATTCTTATGCATCCTGACAGGTAATGGGGAGCCGAGTACGAATGGAGCAAGTCTGGAGTGGAGTGCTATCAGTCTAGCCACCAAGTTCTATTCCTAGAGGCAAAACCCACCCAAAGGATGATAATCACAGTGCAAGCAGACAATGGGGTATAGCCAAGCTCCAATATATAAAAAAATTACCAGTGAAATTTGCTAGAATGTTTCCTTTAGGTATTGGTTTCAACTAAACTGTATCATTAATGCTAAATGGACTAATATAGGGTTAATACATTCAGGTGATACTTGCTTCTGCTTTGTAGCGCATGTTACTGTATATGCTTCATGTTGTCCAACGTTTCTCAGGCTAGTTTTACTTGAGGAAGGGTCCTCATGGATCTGGAATGGTTGTACTAGTTTTGCTACAAGTGTGGCATTTAATAAACTCACAAGGTGTTGCAGACTTAAATGAAGTGCTGCCCAAGACTGAATTTGTTCCAGTTCTCTTTCCGAAGTGAGACTTCTAGTTTCATCCTGATGCTTGATGTACACCAATGCAATGGCATAGTCTGACCTTAGTAGGTTGCAGGGCAGGTTCTGCTATTGCGGTCATGGCAATTCTCCACACCCTCAGGATGTGGTCTAAAAGAATATCTTAAGACCCCAAATGTATCCATACTGAAAATTCAGTTATGGAGCTTTTTATGCACTTGTGTTACACTACTGGGTTACTTGAAATTGTCCATCTCATTCCATTTCTTCTGTCTATTAATACGTAGAGGTCTCTCTGACTAAAATACTTGTCTGTGGAACAACAATGTAAAGAGCAGTTGCTCTGCATGCCTTTCGATGGAGAACATCTCTATAGAGCTTCCTTCAACAATGTTATAAAAAAAATGATACTGGCTGTAAAAGTATTTTTTTTTTTTTACAAACATAAGAAACCTAAGCTTCCATCTGGCAAAACTTATTCTACCTCCCCTTTCCTTTCATTTGCCCCAGGCCAGGTGAATTGTAAATTCTAGGCTTCAAGTCCTCCAAGCCTGCAGACAAATCCTCCTCACAAAGAGAGGATGTCTATTCATAATAGACTTTCTGGCAAGGTCACCAAGTGGAAAAAAAAAAGGCAAAAAAAAACAACGGGAAACTAGCAAGATGTAAAAACAGGCAGTGATGCCTGTTTACATACAAGAGGCGGCAGATCGCTTGTATGGGGCGCCGATCGGAGTGCCCCCCCCTCCGGCTGGTCCGGAGCTTCGCTGTGCCCGGTGCGAGCCTGGCACCAGCTTGGTGGCTCTCTGACAGGTGATCAGAGTGAGATTGGTACATGATCTCCCTCCGGTCCCCTTTCCGCTGTTAGAATGCGGAAGTGATGTATATTACATCACTTCCGCATTCTTGTGTCACTCTCCAGCTTCAAAAGCTAGAGAGATGCTGATGAAGCAGATCTCTGCTTCATCAGCTTCTTTGGGGGTCCCTAGGTGACATTAGGGGTCTTGGAGACACCAGATGTCTCCATAAAGAGGACCTGTCACATATCTTTGCTATCACATAGGGGGGTTTCGCTATGTGATAATAAAGTTAAGTGAAAAGAAAAATAGGAAAAAAAAATTAAGTTGCCAAAAAAATGTAAGTCACACATAAAAAACGAACTTAAAAAATAAAATAAAATGTTTAAAGTTCCCACCCATACATACACGCGTCGTGTGCGCATACGTGCAAAAACGACGATTGTGCCCATTACGCCGCACATGTTACATATCGTCGCAAACGTCGGAGTGAGAGCAATAATTCTAGGGCCATTATTCACTGATAACACTAAACTGATGAGCGGTAAAAGCTTTTAAAGTGTCGCCTATGGTCAATTTTGGGTATGGTAGTTTTTTGCAATTTCGCGGGTGCGCGCTATTTTAAAGCTTGACATGTTTGGTGTCTATATACCCAACGTGACCCCCTATTTTATATTTTACCAAAAAATTGGGTAATAATAAATGTATTATAACAATGTAAAAAATCACTTTTTTTCCCCAGAATTTTCTGTAATTTATCCCTAATATAGTAAAAACTAAAACCCCCCAGTGGTGATCAAATACCACCAAAAGAAAGCTCTATCTGTCCCTAAAAAATGGTATACAATTCATTTCAGAAGAGTGTAGCATGACAGAATAAATGATAAATGTCAGTCAAAGTACCTGCAATACTGAAAAATGGCCTGGCCTGGAAGGGGGTGTAAACACCTGCAAACATACCTCTTACTGCTAACATGGGTGCTTGACTGTTAACACGGGTAACAGAATCTGCTTCAATAAAACTGTATTATGTTAACTTATACCACAATGTTCTCCTTTGGTTTAGTCAATTCACCTAGTTCTAACAGAGAAAGTTTCCTGTGACCCAGATAATCAATGTTGCATGCTCATTCTGGATGGCACTGCAGGCCCATCAATCTGACAGCACTAGTTTTTTGGCATGCCAATGATTAGTTTATTTATGATTCCTTTTTTCTTTTTTTGGCTCAGGAGCAGCATCAGACAAAATGCTTGAAGAGTTCTAAGGAGAGATAGGGGGTCACATGGTGCAGAGATGTCTTGCAATGTGAATGAATGCCATGGCTTTAAATTCAGGCCATAAAGGACAAATCTGTCCGGAAAATAGGATACAGCTAGAATGCCGTATGTTTGATG